AGAGTATTCGAAGACGAAGAATTGCAGGCATTGGTGGACGAAGACCCATGTCAAACGCAAAAGCAACTTGCAGAAGCATTAAATTGCGCTCAATCTGTCATTTCCGATTGTTTGAAAGCCTTAGGAAAGGTTTACAAGGAAGAAAAATGGGTCCCATATAAACTGAAGCTAAGAGACATTGAAAGGCGAAAAACGACCTACGAAATTCTGCTCGCTAGGCAACAAAGAAAGGGGTTTTCACGTCGCATCATCACTGGGGATGAAAAATGGATTTATTTTGACAATCCCAAACGTCGAAAAACTATTTGCGATCCCGGTCAAGCCTCAACATCGACGTCAAAGCGAAATATTCACGGTAAGAAGGGAATGCTCTATATTTGGTGGAATCAGAAGGGTGTGCTGTATTATGAGATGTTAAAAAGTAATCAAACAGTAAAAAAAAAAAGTGATTTTGCTTCATGACAACGCTCGGCCCACGTCACAAAATCTGTCAAAGAAACGTTAGAAGCACTTCGCTGGGAAGTGTTACCCCATGCGGCTTATTCACCAGACTGTGCCTCTTCCGACTACCATTTGTTTCGGTCGATGGCACACGCACTTGCTGAGGAATGCTTCAATTCTTATGAAGACGTCGAAAAATGGGTCTCTGACTGAATAGCCTCCAAAGATGAGTCATTCTTTCGCCACGGAATTCGCTTGCTGACCGAAAGATAGGAAAAAGTCATCGCTAACGATGGACAATATTTTGATTGATGTACTTTTTCATTTTGTTTCTTAAATAATGCCATACGTTTTGCAAAAAAACGAACGGAACTTTCCGATTGTCCTAATATTCTCAATTTTCAGGCGGTTTTCGGGAAGTAAGTGAGAGAAAACTCCCGAAAATCGTCTGAAAAATGAAAGTAACGTCGAACACTGATTTAGACTGAACACTGAACGCTGGCAACTTCAAACGGCATTTCGACATATCGTTCGTATTTCAGCAGGAAACTCCGTCATTCGAGCAAACATTTTGCGGCGGACGCAAATATGACATTGCAAGTCGCGCTACCGTCATTACGTGTTTATCGCGATGGCGAAGCTTCGATGTATGATGGATCACCGCGATTCGCCGTTCGGCAAAAGTACAAGCCCTCTCTTCTTCCCGCGCGCCCTCTCTTCTTGTCGATGCGCACGCGAGGGGTTATTAAACTTGGCACGAACACGCGGCACGCGCCCGTAAAATAAACGGTGCGCACAGTAAATTATTTATGATCTCGAAGAAACCCCGCGAATATTACGTGGAAGCTAACGCGACGTCTAGATATGTTATTTTTATCAGTGATCTTTCTCTCTCCTGTCCCATCTCTCTCTCTCTCTCTCTCCCCCCTCTCTCTCTCTTTCTCATTCTATTCTCCGCCGCACGAACGTTAGCACGATTTATTTTCCATCTGTGGTGGGATTCTTTAACTCATTATTGGAGTTAACGACACTTCGTTATCGTTGCGCAGCTTTTGTATACCGTAGAAAAGCTGCGCAACGATAACGAAACTGTCGTTAACTCCAATAACGAGTTAAAGAATCGCGCCGCTGGCGCGTCGCTGCGGACTCGGAAAAGAGACTCTCGATAATCGGTCTGCGAAATAGGCTCGCTTCTCTGTCCACAACTCGCGCACGTTTCCGTGGAAGCTCGGAAATGACGCGCGAGATCGTAACGTGCGATAACATGTCCATCATGCTAACGAATTTGCGAAACCCTCTCACAACGCAAGGAATAAACGTCGTTCACGTCCGAGTGACGAGCGCCGACGCTTATCGACGATAACGCCATGCTAATGTCGCAACGACATTGAGCGCCAACTGCGAAACCCGTCTCCCTTTCTGTATGTAGCGTCAATCTGTGGGCACGTGGAGTGAGATTCGAAGCTGGCGTTTCATCAGCGGGGAATGAAGATATCAAGCAAGCGGGAAAGGTGACGCGAACGAAGCCATAAGCGAAGACTCGAGATATAGTGACGGGCGATCTCTCTCGATTTCTAGAGAATTACAGTCTGTAAAGTAAGAGCGTGCACGGCATAAATGGCAGTTGGCTTCAAATGTCGTCCTAGTCTTTTTGTGAGCCGATAGATGAAATCTTTGTCGTGAATGCTTTGTCACAAAAGATTCAGTTGGCGTCGAACTCCAACCTGAGAAACACGTTAACCGCCGCCGCATGAGTGCTGCATACGCATCGCGCTACGAGGCTGTGTTCCTTTGTTTCCACTCCAAAGGACCAAAAATGTCATATGCAGTGGCTGCTAAATACATGGGAAAGTCAAAATCGTTCGTCGCTAAGCGGGTTCAGCAATATAAGATAAAAAATGTCGATGACTTGCCAGAACGTGGCTCGATAGGCAAAGTGACGCCGAATATGGAAAAAAAAATTGTGAATTTGTTTAAGCGGAACCCGACCTTAATGCTTAAAATTTATGAGAAGTGTTTGTTGCCGACTGCTGAACGATGCTTCATAAAAAAGAAACGAGGACTGGATCTTACAGGAAGACAACGACCCAAAACACCGGAGCAAGCTTTGCACCGAGTGGAAAGAGCAGTCTGGCATCGTCACACTTGATTGGCCATCGCAGTCGCCAGATGCAAATCCCACTGAAAATGTGTGGGCATATCTCAAGCACAAGCTTCGAGGAAAAAGAGTGTGCACTTTGAAGCAGCTGACACGACAAATTCGTCTCATTTGGAGGTCTTTACCGAACGAATACGCAGTCAACTTAGTGGAAAGTATGTCTCGGAGATGCCAGGCAATTATCAATCAACCGGTGGTGTGACTGGACTCATTATTAATGGTATAGCATTTTTCTTCTCATGAAGTACAACAAATCCATGTACTTAAAAATCATTAAAATAAATGTTTCTACACATTAACCCGTGCACGCTCTTACTTTACAGACTGTAACCTTTTCAAATCGGTTCTTTCGATTGAGAATCAGTGTTGTCTTGTTTAGTTCAACCGGGGCGAACGTTTGAAAGAATCGATTTGTACAAAAATCAACCAGCAAAGAATCGATCTATAAGTTGATTTTTCGAGGAAAAGATCGATTTCCTGAAAATCGAATCGAGATAGCCCATTTGGCCACAGGAATTTGAAACGTGCAATAAAGGTTGCTTTACAGCAAGGAGACACAGACACAGAAACAGACACAGACTGCGCGTACAGCTGCTTGTTGGAATATCATTTGGTTCTCAATGCAAGAGATAAGTTGCTTTTCACGGTTACACATAATTCATGTTTTATCATAGCTTTGTACAAAGTATATTTCCATCCTCTGAATATACTTCTCTTGCAATAAAGCAACTATATTTCGGTACTTCATCGAGCAAACTAATATCGCAATGTTTACGGTAGAGCATCCTCTTAATTTATTAATTAAATAACAAGGAATACATAACCGCCTTAAACATGGAACACTCTCATATACAGCATGTTTTCAAAGAAGGGTTAAGGACTGTAGGGACAGATAGTACTCACAAAATGGAGGAAAAAAGTCCTAATGGCTCGAAAAATTGATATTATCGGAGTTATAAGCAATTATTAATTTTAATTAAAGCAAGTACTTACTCTGGTGGTTCTGTACTCTCTGGCGTAATTTGTCTACGTCATTTATCGGTAAAGAGAGAGTAGCCCCACCACGTTTCAGCCCTTAATATCCTGAATTAGTTTACCTCCTTATTAAACTTTAGAAAATTAAACAGCCTTTGGTATATTAGTATAAAAAGTAGGAAAATTAATTTTATAACAATTTGATAACCTTTTGGTGATATTTATAAATATCGCCAGGAAGATAGAAAAAGAAAATTCAAAAACATACGAACATTTATATATAGAACGGTACTTTTAAGTACTATTAGAACATAAAGGATAAAAAATCCCCCCAAAAAATTCCTATCATAAAGAATGATATCGTATTACTCTAATCAAATAATGACAAAAATGCATTTCATGTATGACCGTGCATCGAAAGCGAGTCAGTTGCTTTAATTCAAACAAATATTCCATAATTCCGACAATATCAATTCCATAATTCCATAATTCCGACAATATCAATTTTTCGATCCATGTTTATTAGAATTTTTCTCCTCCATCTTGTGAATACTAATTGCCCTTCAAGTTCTGAAACCTTTTCTGTTTTAAGCAGTTTATACATAGGGTATCCGGGATCTTTTGGAAACGAAAAATGGTAAAGATTAATCAGATCAAATTGAGAAGAAAGTCAAGTACTATTTTACAAAAATTACAATAGTTATTAATGATTGAAAATGACCATATAAAGGCTCTTTTGATAACTTGAAAATTTGCATAGTTATTTACAAAATGATAAAGGACTTTTTTGTTCAGAACAACCTAATCTACAATTATATGACGGCTATTGTACCTAGCAACAAGTTCAAAATTCAGGGTTCAAAATTCAATATCTACGCTAGACACAATAGCCGTCATGTAATTGTAGATTAGGTCATTCTGAACAAAAGTCCTTTACCATTTTGCAAATTTTCAAATTATCAATTAAAGGAGCCTTTAAATGTGGTCATTTTCAATCATCAATAACTATTGCGATTTTTGCAAAATGGTAAACTTGACTTTTCTTCTCAGTTTCATCTGATTAATCTTCATAATTTTTCGCTTCCAAAAGACCCCGGACACCCTGTATATGCGCTTACAGAAAAGCAACGCTGCTAACCAATTTACCAATATTTAGAAATTTATCATATCCTGCAAATAATTGTCAGCCATGAGTTCAACACACAGACGCTGATTCTGCTCTTCAACTGTGCATACTTGCGTCACCTTGTGTTGCGGTAGGAAAGCACTGTGTTGAGAATACGCAGTGTCACTTTGTGTCTCTCTTGCCGGAGAGCCGGAGAACCGGTGACACGGCAATGCTCATCTTGCAAAAATCGACGGTTTTCTCAGGCGAAGAGCTTCCATATTACACATCGAGTGGCGCCGAAGCGATTGATTCGCTCACCTGTTGGAGATGGTGCGCAATCCTGGTCGTACGAGAAACGCGAGCAAGAGGGTCGCGTTGAGCAGGAAGCAGCCGAAGAGGACGAAGCTCCAGGCCGCGATCGCCGGATTGTTCCACCATCTCTCCAGACTTCCCAGGTCCTCAACCGGTCCTCCTCCGACGATCCCCGTCGCAGCTCCATCCATTCATAAATAATAAATATGCGCTACGGGCCTGTAACAGCCAAGAAGGCACGCGTCGTTCCCGCGTTAGAATGGCATTACCCTCGACGGAACCTCTTGATCGAGAGCCGATGTCGGATGTCGCAAGTGTGACGCGCGCAAGTTCAATTTCGGCTGTCTGCGGATTCATGTCTCACGTCGACACGGTGACACGGCGCGCGATCTCCTCCTTCGGCTCGCCGACGAGAGCGAGAGGGCGAGGGAGAGAGCCGATTTGACACGCGCGCTCACCGGCAAAAATTGGATGAATTCTCCCCCGGGGAGAATTCAACTTACGACGCGCGAGCGAACCGCCCTCGACTCGTGCGTTCCGGCTACTTACCGCGGAATTACGACGCTCTCGCGAAATGGGTCAATTTGCTGCGCGAGAAGAGACGCGGCGCGAGAGAACACTGCGACCCCGATGTACAAGGTGCAGGCGGGGCTCACGGACTTCCCCGTGGGTGTGTATTTTTAGACGCGGCTTTCCCCGTACGCACACGTGCTGCAAAAATATATTGCGACGTCGCGCGTGTGTGTCGCGTCTCGAACGACGATCGCGCGCGGCCTCCTTGGCGAAAATCGCCTCCGCGATTTTAACGATTCGGCGAACACGAGTCTCGCGCGAGGGGCGAGCGGGGCATGCCCGTGCTTCGTACGAGACACACACTCGCGCGCGCGGCACGATAATCATCGGGCGAGTCCGCCGTTATCGGCCGAAGAGCGAGTGTCAACCAACCGAAAATCAACGGCGCCGCGGATCGTCGGCCGCCCGGTCGACTCGGGTTCGATTTAAATAACAAAGCGGATGAGAGTCGCACAGAAAGCGGCTATTAAGGTTCAACGCGCGATGCGAGCGCGTTCTAAAAATAACGCGGCCTGTGTTACCCGGTAATCTGTCTTCGCGCACTACGGCCAGTGTTTTCCTTCTACGATGAGATAACCTAATGAGGCGGCGGGCCGACAAGTTGAAGCCAGGGTCCGCTTTGACGTCGTCGTCGGTCTTCGTCGTCGCCGATAACGCGCCAATGTTAATTTCGCCACGCGGGGGACATGCTTTTCGGCCGAGGCCGAGGAGGACGCGCGCTTTCGTTCGTTCCGCTCTCGAAAGCGAGAAAGAGACGGGGATAGGGGGCGCGACTGATTGAGAAAACAAAGTCATCGCGCGATTGACGTCAACTAGTGTTTTTCGACAGACATTATCGTAATTCCCTCTTTATTTCGCGGCTATCGCGCCACCGTCGATCGAACGATCCGCCGCGATTAAGTCAATAATCCTTATCGCGCACATCTTATTTACCTCTCTCTCTCTCTCTCTCTCTCTCTCTCTCTCTCTCTCCCCCCCCTCTTTCTCTCTCCCTCTCTCTCTCTCTCTCTCTCTCTCTCTTTCTCCCCCTCTTATTCCCTCACTTTTAAAGATCCACTTATAAGAAAACTTATCTTTGTGTGACTCGCCGATTTTATTGAAACTCAGTACACTTGTAGAGTAATCAAAAATAATAGACATTCTTGTATTTTTTTATGTCCGCAATAATGCACATTTAAGGATGAAAAGTATCCTTATTTATTATCCGCGAATAAGTAACTCATTGCATTTAAGTTCATTGTATTAGAGCTATGTTTGAGTTTTGGAGATCAAGGAGCTTCTATGTCGCTGGAGGTAAATCTAATGTAAAAATTATAGAATTTAAATTGGCGGACCTAATATGGCGATCTGATAAATCACAACAATTTTATCTCGCTCTTTGCTCTAAATCCAGGGATAACCAACGAGAAGGTGGCGAGAGTTCATTCCCATTTCATTTTTTTTTATTATTTTTTTTATATTTTTATTTTATATATATTTTTTATTGATTTTTTTTTTACTTTTTTTTTACAATAACGTCACTTCTCGCACTTTATTCATCGCCTATTTTCACTTTTTATATTCTTTACAGAGATGATATGCAAGGAAATAATGTTTTATACACAAAGAATTTGTGCATCAAGCACACTTTACGACTGCTATATTACAGATAGCTTCGCAATTTTTAAAACAATAATCTACAGGATTATCAAATTTAAGTGGTTTTTCTTGTAAATATCCGCTTTTATACCATAAATACTTAAACAGATTTATAAACCGAGGAGAAAATAATTGATTATAAACAAGCGATTGAACTTTGATAGTGTTGTTTCGTAAATGTAAGTAAAATATAAAATTTAAACACAAAACATAATTTTTATGTATGTAATAAATAAATAATAAATAAATAAATAAAAAACACAAATAGGAATAGACTGTCGCCACTTCCTCGTCAGTTATTCCTGGATTCGGCAAAGAGATAAAAATGTTTTATCAAATCGCCATATTAAATCCGTCATTTTGAATTTTTATGTTGGATTTGCTTTCAGCGACATAAAAACTTCTCATCATCTTCCTTATCAAACTCAATTAAATAGTTCTAATGCCATCAACTTATTATAAATGCAACGAGTTAATTATTCGTGGGTATAAATACAAGAGTGATTTCCACCCTTGAGAATGCACCATTGCCAATATAAAAAAATACGTGTCTATTAGATTTTATTACTGTAAGAACGTACTAAGTTTCAAGAAAATCGGCGAGTCACACAAATATAGGTTTACTTTGTTAGTGATGCGGTTTTCTCAATATATCACTGGGATAGCGTCGATCCAGAAAAGCAGACCGGCATATCGTCAGCAAAAATTGCAAAAATTGCTGCGGAAATCTGCCGAAGTACAGCGCGCGATGCTCTCGATGGTGTTTGACGGATGGACGAGAGGCTCTTAAGCCCGTGTCACACTACGGATTGAAGATCAAGGATTGCAGATTGGAGATTAGATTTCGACGAATCAACGAACTTCGGTTTTGATTTGCTTTATTCCGATTGGTCAATCTTCAATCCGCAATCCGTAGTGTGACACGGGCTTTACGCGCGTGAGAGAATCTTACGCCGTCCGATCGATATTTCACGTCGCTGGTAACAGGCATCGCGTTTTATCGCGTCCACGGACCGTATCGATGACTCCTCAGGAAACGCGCGACATGTCTGAGAAAAGAATTGAGCAGCGCATCCGGCAAAACTAGACGCCGCCGCGCCGGAAACGCGCGCGATATGATCTTCATCCAATGAATGTCGCTGAATGCATTTCGTCCTCCTCACGTCAACGAACGAAGGAAAGAGAAAGCCGATGATGGTCGATCGCGACCGATCTTCCACTCGATCGCCTCGCGACTTGGCAGTCTTCCAAGATTCGATCGTGGAGAGCAAGAGAGGAGAGAGGGAGGAGCGTCTCGCGGTACCGTCAATCCGCACGATCTACGCGAGCGCTGCTGATCACTTATCTGCCTTTAATGAACCCCCCTCTCCCTCCCCCCCCTCTCTCTCTCTCTCTCTCTCTCGGCAAAGTGCCGCTCATGATCGGATCGCGCGAGTCACGAGTCGCGCCGAATCCCCGATGATTCACCTTATCCGTTCAGTGAGCGCGCGCGCGCGCGCGTTATTGCATTCCTCGTGTCACAAACACCACGGAGGGAGACGCGCTAGCGGAAACAAATAATCTCTGTGTGTCTTTCATCGCGGCAATAACAACACGCCTCGCGGGGGAGAAGTGTTTCTACATAACGCGCGCGCGTCATTACCGTTACACAATAAAGGCGTAATCTGACTTTTTCAACACGGCTCCCTATTCGTCGGATTTTATTCCATCGTTCCGAGCCTCCGACGGCGCCTCGGAACGGCGCAGGGGGCGCATTCTCTCTCTCTCTCTCTCTCTCTCTCTCTCTCTCTCTCTCTCTCTCTCTCTCTCTCTCTCTCTCTCTCTTCTTCTGTCGCGCGGACGTGCCCATGGCGGTTTATGACCGCCTCGCGAGCGAGACGGAGCGTTCGCTCCACGGTAAAAATTCGAGCTCTCGTAAACGCGACGAGGAAACTGCAGGGTAAGAAGTTTCGGCCTCGCCGCGTTTCAACGCCAAACATCCGCTGATGCAAACACTCGGCGGTGTTACACCGGATTATTGTTATTATTGTTATTGATATTCGTTGACCTTTAAACATTGCTGACCGCTCAGGTCGCTGACGAATAACGAAATCCTCATTATGATTCGCTTCTTCCGAGTCTCGGCGAGATTAATGCGCGATTAACCCTTATCGGGCGTTTATTTCAAAACTCAAATCCGATATTAGGGTCAATCCGATTACCGTGAGTGAATCGATATGGTGATTGAGGTTTTACCTGCATAATTTAAACGGAGTTACGATGACATAATTTACAGTTCGATAGAATCAGAAGCCGAAAGATGAAATTAATCAGATTGCGAGGAAAAACATTCCATTCGAATGAATTTCAAAAAGGGACAAATTGATATTAATGTTCACAATGAGGGTTAATTCATTCTGGGGACCTCTAATTCCTCCTCCCTCCTGCCGACAAGCAGGGCATTGTTCCTCCTTCGCGACAAACCGCTCGTTCGAATGAACCAACCGAGATTTTGCTTTCTATCGTCCTGGCCGTTAATAAAAGCTGTGCAAATTTCGCGCGGTCATCAGACCGATCGCGACGTCCGGCTTGCCGATGTCTATGAAGGTGGCTCCACGATTTTTAAATTACACAAAAATGACATGACTTCTGGCTGTCTCCAAAGAGTTCTCTATTGATATCAAAAATAGTTCCGTCGACTAAAGCGGTCAAAACATCAACTTCACAATTGTGTTTCAAAGTGCTACAACTTTTTTATCTTAAACTAAAGAGTGCCATAACTTTTTTATCTTAAACTAAAGAGTGTCGATCCTTACGGACAATCGATAGAATCTTCGGCGGGGTACCAGAACTCTCAACGGAACGCCAAAATTCCGAAAAAAAAACTCGTAAAGTCCTTTAGGCGTACGCCGAAACTTTGGAAGACTATAATTTTGTTATCGTCGATTGCAGCCGGACAATTTATAAGGATAATTTATAGAATTTTTCGGAGGGTCACTGGAACTCCCGACATAACGCCGAAATTGCAACAAAATTTTTTTGTCCGCTGGAATTTTGAACAGCCGTAACTTTTCTATTTTCGATCTGAGCCCAACAATGTTTAAGGATAATCGGTAGAACTCTTCGGGAGGCTATCAGAACTCTCAACGGAATGCCAAAATTCCGAAAAGAAATGTACGCCCAAGGGACTTGGAAAAATCCGCGTACGTCGAAACTTTGGAAGGTTATCATTTTGTTATCGTCCGTTGCAGCCGGACGATTTATAAGGATAATTTGTAGAATTCTTCGGGGGGTCACTGGAACTCCCGACAGATCGCCGAAATTGCAAGAAAACTTCAGCGCGCAAAAATCTTTCACAGACGCGGCTTGCCGTGTGTCAGGCCGATTCTCTCAATTTTCACTTGGCATTCGCCGGGAACGCAACAAGCGTTGCGGCAGTCGTCGACATGCGAGCGATTCGGCGCCACAGGCCGGCATAGCGAGGCTTTACTATAAATGGCCGAAGGCGCGTTATGCCGGTAATCCGGCGCGCAACAACACGGCCGCAATTATACGACGCGGATATTCTCGCGCTCGCGAGCCGATGAAGCATAAGTCCTCCCAGCGCCGGCGATTAGGCGGATTCTCGCTCATATTCGGCTAAGAATAACGCGCGTATGAATCGAAACAGCCGGAGAGAGAGAGAGAGAGCAGCCTGTTTGCGCTCGTCTCTAATACGTCCGATCCGTTGATCGTCGTTTAAAGGTGCGTGTACACTAGAGTTGACAGATTTGCAAGTTGGCAGGGAAGAACGACTGAAAATTTTAACGAGCAAAACAAATGGAATGCGCCTGTCACCTTTTCGAACGTCAATTTTCGACTTCATTATACATTTATTATACATTTCATTGTGTGTGTTTTACTTGTACACCTGAGTCTCTTTTTACATGGTATTTTTTTACATATGGTTATTTTAACACGTTGTATTCAAGGTTTGGTTAACAAGCTTTCTTCACAGTTACGTGACTTTTTTTAACAACGATTTTATTTCACAACAAAATAAATGTCGTTACAATTGACACAAAACGATAAGACAGAAGATATTCTGAGCGATAAAAGTAATTTTGTTTATCAAGTAGAAGAAGAAAACGAAGTCGCTACTATAATAAAAAGCGACGATGAATAAAATTTAAATTGATTTAAAAAATAATATTATTCCTTTTTTTCATTTTTCTCAACATATTAACTTTTCTCTTATGTATATATTAAATAAAATGTCTTTAGTCAATGCATTTTTTATATTTTAAATTGTATTTTGCATAATTTATATTCAATACAAGTTTTATACTTTGTTGCAAATCGATTTTTATGCGATTACCTTTTTTATACGATTTTTTTCACGGTACGCACCCACCGTGTAAAGAGACAGGTGTATTAGGAGTGTAATTTAGTTTTGGAGGCTTTGCAAGAAATGGCATTAATAATAATCAATTTTGTCGAAGACATTCCAATCACAGCTATTATTTCTTCATACTTTAATATTAATCCATCATATTTACTAACAGTCATTTACTAACAACAGACACAATAAAAATCGTGCTACTGTCTTAAAAATGGAGCTCCTAAAGAGCATTTTCGACACGCGTTGCTTTTATTTGTTAGAATCAGAAAAAAATGGCGGCTGGAAGTCATAGAATCCTGATAGGAACTTATGATGATGTTGCTCCATCAATTAAGACATGCGAATATTGATTTAAACGATTCGAAAACGGTGATTTCAATGTTAACGACACAGATCGCTCGGGACAAGTAAAAAAAACTTGGAAATGCAGATTTGCGAGCATTATTGGACGAAAATCCAGCACAATCCACTTCAGAACTTGCCAGAGTATTAAATGTTGATCGTATAACAGTTACTAAACGTTTATAAGATACACAAAAGATTCACAAAGGAACAAAATGGGTTTCACATCAATTATCGAAAAATGACATCGCGAACCGATTGAACATTTGCATTTCGTTGATCGCTAGATAAAAAATGAAGAGCTTTTTATATCAGATTGTTCCTGGGGATGAAAAATGGATCCATTTCGATAATCCCAAAAAATCATGGGTTGATCCGGACCAATCAGCAACATCCACTTCGAGGCGCAATATTCAAAGGTATTGCTGTGTATTTGGTAGGATCAAAAAGGTCACCGCTGATCATTATCGACAATAATTATACAAATGGAAGCGAACATTGGACCAAAAACAATCACCAATTGCGAATAAACGACGCAAAGTGATTCTTCCTCGCGACACAATACTCGACCGGTTAATGCAACATGCTCTGAAGAATACACACTTTTATAACTTGAACAAGTGCGAAAATTTATTGAAAATTGGATCAACTCCAATGAAGAATCTTTTTATCATCGTGGAATCCATCTCTTGCCAGAAAGATGAGAAAAAGTTGTAAAAAATGAAGGAAAATATTTTTATTAAGGTCTTCGTTCATCTTGTTAAGTAAATCAGTTTTTGAAAAAAACCCTCAAAACTAAGTCACACTGCTAATATACACTATAAATCACTATGACAGCATATGTAGCAAGCAAAAAAAGAACTTCGATGCGGTAGGGAAGGACAAATAGCGTTCTTGGTAGGATATGAAAATTTTGACTAGAAAGAAGAATAAATAGCGTCCTTGGCAGGAAATGAAAATTTTGGCTAGGAAGGACAATCCTTACCAGATGACATCTGGCAAACTAATGTACATCGAGCGAACGAACAGCGACGGGCGTTCGCGTTCGCTGCTGATCTCTTGAATTTCTTGTTTGCACTCTCGAGTTACCACCGGTGTTCAAGAACAGACGTCAACAGCAAAGCGTCGACGACTCCCCGTGCACGCGCTGTACACGAACTTCATTTGCTACACCGTTTCGTGGCAAATCGGACTGAACGCTTTAACGAACGTTTATTAGCGTTCCAACTTGCGACGGTCTAATCCGCCGAATTCGCCGTCCGCTCATAGTGTTAAAAAAAAAAAAAGAATTCAGAACTTTAACCCTTTGCATTCAAAATGCCAGCACAACTGGCATTTATTCCGGCAACTCGGGATGCCAGCTGTACTGGCATGAAAAAGGTTTAAAAAGAGCAATAAAAGAGAGCAGTAAAACATCATATTACTCTAACCAAGAAATGGCAGAAATGCATTTCATGTATGACTGTGAGCCGAAAGCGAGTAAGTCGCTCGCTTTAATTGAAATAAATAATTGTTCATAACTCTGACAATATCAATTTTTCGACTCATGTTTATTAGGACTTTTTTTCCTCCATCTTGTGAGTTCAGGACAAGAGCAGGTTGTCCTTGTCCTGAACCCTTTTTTCTAAACACCCTGTATAGTGTGTATACGCGCCTTAAGGCACGACAACGAGAGAGAGAGAGAGAGAAAGAGAGAGAGAGAGAGAGAGAGAGAGAGAGAGCGCTGGCGGGAATTCGAAACAGATGTCATTGTCATTCCGGCGAGCGTGTCGCGCGCTCACGTGAGCGCCGACGTGAGCCACGCCGCGACATCGAACAACGACGACATCTCCGACGGCCGCGCGATGCGGGTGCGCGGAAATGTATATCGAGAAATCGGCGACGTCGGTGCCGGTCGCGGTGCGTATACGCCTCCTCCGTCGCGGCTCCGATAACGCAATTCCGCGTTTCCGACGCGCGCGTGCTTTCCTGCGAATCGCGCGCGCGCACGCACGCACGAACGCGTGGATGGATATCTGCTTTCGGCCGTCTACTTGCGAAAGTTGAGTCGGCGAGGATCAAGGGAGATTGAGGGTGATAGGATTACCGTTGGCGCGGGATCGTAACAGCGCGGCTTCGACGACGGTCGCGACGCGACGAAGAACGTCCAACTCGGCTCGATGCCGCGCGGGTGGTCCAGCGCGGTGCCGAGTGATTTATTCGCTTCGCGAGGCGCGAGGAGAAACGTCGCGGAAGCGGGACGACCCGCTTCCGCGACCGAGGATTCGGTTAACCGGGAGACGTGCTCATGCTCGATAACTCACCGGATGCGTGAAAATCAAGCGGCGACGATGATCTCGACGGTGCAGGAACGCGACATCGCACGCCGGTGCCGATCGCACTGGCTAATCTCTCTTGCCTTCACATGGACTTGCCGTGTGCTCCATGCTCCTGAGGACCTTGAAGATAAAGCAGACACGGCTACGGTTATTCTCCTGCGGCTGGCATTCTTCGCTAAAGCGATATCTCTCAATTGTTACTTCGACGCGCTTATCACGACCGGCGCAGTTAGCGTCACAGGAGCGCGTCTTTGAAAATGACAACCACAGCGCGAAAATTCGCTTCATGTGTCTGCGCGCGACGCAAGAAACTTTAGCGTTAGCGATTTATTAATATAATATAATAAACATAATTTTTAATATACAGGGTGGCCCATTTTAAAATCCCCATGCAAATATTTCGAAAAATGTGGAAGACACGGAAAAATATTTCAGACAGAAGTTGCATGGTTTTAAGACATAAAACAACTATATCAATTTGTTTCCAGATAACGCTACTTATATCATCTTTTTCTATCAATTAATTTGAACAACTTTTGTTTGAAATATTTTTTTATTTGCCTAATATTTTTTGAGATATTTAAGAAAAACTTGGTAACTTTTTCAATATTTAACTTACGATATCTCGCTAACTTATTGTTGAAAGAAAAAATGGTACTAGGCATTTTTACTTTAGTCTCAAGAATATATTGTTATAATAACATCCTGATTTTTGTTAATTTGATGATTTTGAAATTTCCAAAAGTCGATAAGTTAACAAAAGTTAGGGCACTATTGTAACAATATATTCTAGAAATCAAATAAGGTAAAAAAATCTAGTATTATTTTTTCTTCTGACAAATAGCGAGATATCGTAAGTTAAATATTGAAAAAGTTACCAAGTTTTCCTTAAATACCTAAAAAAATATTAGGTAAATAAAAAAATGTTTCAGACAAAAATTAATCAAATTAATTGGTAGAAAAAGATGGTGTAATAAGAAATTGGAGTTTCCATTTAAGAAAAGTAATCCGTGAATATCTCGAAAACGGCGCCATCTGTAAACAAATTGATATAGTTGTTTTATGTCTCCCTTGAAACCATACAACTTTTGTCTCAAACATTTTTCTGTATTCCATATTTTTCGAGATATTTGCCTGGGAAATTAAAAATGGGACACCCTGTATTAGGTGTTCCGCTTAGTTTTGAGGGTTTAATGTAAATGGCTATAGCTACAAATCTACTAGAGATATTTTAAAAGTTGGTACGCCATTTTAAAGCTTGGACATTTCTACAAATAATTTGACACACGGCATGTGCATTCGTAAACATAACCACACTTTTTGTACTATTGATAATGGAGCGTGGCAAAGAACATTTTCAACATTTACTGTTTTATTGTTTCGATTCGAAGGAAACGGCTGCTGAAGCCCACTGATTCATCTCAGAAATCTATTCTGATTTTTTTCCATCGATTGAAACATGCGAATACTGATATTAGCGATTTCGGCGTGGTAATTTCGATCTGAAAAACAAAGAACGTTCAGGTCAACCGAAAAAGTTTGAAGATGCCGAATTGCAGGCATTATTGGATAAAAACTCAGCTCAAACGTTTCAAGAACTGAAGCATTAAATGTTGGTAAATCAACCGTTTCAGGTCGTTTACACGCAATGGGGAAGATTCAAAAAGAAGACAAATGGGTTCCACATGCATTGTCTGAATTGCCTATTCAAAATCGTCTAACCATTTGCACTTCATTGCTTTTTCGTTACAAAGAGAAGCAGTTCTTGTATCAAATTATAACTGGAGATGAAAAATGGATCTACTATGATGATCCTAAGCGTAAAACGTCGTGGATAAGTCCAGGCTAACCATCGACATCGACTCCGAAACGCAACATCCACGGAAATAAGGTTTTATTGTACATTTAGTGGGACATGAGAGGCATCGTGTTTTATGAGTTGTTACAACCGGATCGAACAGTCACCGCTGTGTGTTATCAACAACAATTAATCGGTTTGAATCATGCTTTAATAAACCAAAAACGTCCAGTAATAGCTCAAAGAAAACACAAAGTGATTTTGTTGCATGACAATGCTCGACTGTACGTTGCAAAAACAGTTAAGGATACGTTATCGGCACATCAATGGGAGGTCTTATCACACGCCGCGCATTTAACGGACTGTGCTCCTTTCGATTACTTTTTATTTCGATCTATGCTATCACAGCCTTGCTGATCAACATTTCATATCATATACGTAAGAAATACAAAAATGGCTCGATGAGTGGATTGCTTCGAAAGACGAACATTTCTTTTATCGCGGGATTCACTTGTCCGAGAAACGGGAAAAAGTTATAGTTAGCGATGAAAAATATTTTAAAATAAAATATAACTTAACGTCTCTCAAAATTAACGTGTTCCTTTTGTAAAAAGTTCCTCAAACTAACCGAAACACTTAACATAATAATAATTAATTTAATATATATACGAGGGTAGTCTCAGAAGTACCTGACCTAACAAAGAAAACACAAAAAATGTGGGAAAAAAAAATATCTTTATTTCTCTACATAGTCTCCTCATAGCTCAATACACTTTTCCCAGCGATGTTCAATAGCTTCGATACCCTGTTTATAATAGAAATCGTCGAGCTCCTCAAAATAGCCATCAAGCCACCTTCCATTGTTTTGATTGTTCCTTCGTCTCAGGTGTGAAATGATGGATCCATGTTTCATCCATGGTTATGAATCGGCTTTATTGCTGCGAAACTTCGCCAAACACTCGATTGAAACATCCTCACGATGCTGTTTTTGTTCCAATCGCGGCACCCATCTTGCGCATAGCTTTCTCATGTCCAAATTTTCAGTCAATATGCGATGCACAGCATTTTTTGAAATGCCTACCATGTCTGCTCGCGCACTTTCAGTCGACGGTCATCCAATACCATTTTGTGGATTTTCTTCACCATTTCTGGCGTGGTCACCTCATTTGGTCGACCACTGCGATGTTCGTCTTGGCAGCTCGTACGGCCTCGTTTAAACTCTGCCACCCAATATTTTACTGTAACGTAAACGAAGGAGCAGACTCCCCCAGAGTAGAATCTAGCTCCGCTTTGATATTGGTTGGACTGAGGCCTTTCAAATGAAAGTATTGTATCACATAACGATGACCAATTTTTTCCATGTTTACAAATTCACTGAGAGCGTTCACTATTGATGGCTGCCAAACAAATACTAAACAACGTAGCGTCGTCAAACTTCAAACTTAAGCTTTATAAGGTTGGTACTTTCTACCATAGTCATTCTTTTCAAACAACAACCGCTATCTATATCAGGTCAAGTCAGGTACTTCTGAGACTACCCTCGTATATATATTATAATAATATAATATATTAATATAATTTTTCATATATTAATATATTTTTAATATTTTTTATATATTAATATTTGTTATATATTATAATATAATATAAAGTTTTTAATTTCATTAATATAAGAAAATAAGTAGTAGCACTTTCCATAATTCCTAACTGAATATAAAACAACGTTACATCCGCATTAATCAAAAGACCAAAAACCAAAAATGAAAAGCCAACTTGGCGAATTTGGGGCACGCCACTCTCCTTCCTTCTCCCCCCCCCCCCCGATGAACACGAATCAAGTATCACCACTTTTGGCAGTGGTTCCCGTTCGTAATGCTCACGATTGATTATTCGCAACGCACATATTTAGCATCTTATCGATCTCGCAGAGTCCAAGAGCGAGAAAGCCGCGAGGCGAGATGAAGATAAAGGATCCGATCTCGATTCAAACGACGCTCCTCGCGAGCGCGATCGTCGAATCCGACCGCCGAGCCCGATGACAAATCGAGAAGCCTGATCCGCGCGCAGGTGGTGCATCCGCAAATCGCAGATGCATTCTCGCGCCTTCTTCAGCCTGCACGCTGACGAAGCGATCTTATCGCGTTTATCGAGCGACGCTCGCCATCGGCGAATCTCTCCGAGAAATTCCCCAGATACCGCCGCCGCTCCCGGCAACGGGTCGATCTCCTTGAATCTCTCCGCGGACGATCTTCCCCGATCGATCCCCGATGCAGGCTCGCGCGAAGAAGGCGAATCGCTCAGGGCGGTGGAAAATTTCAGGGTGTAGGATCGCGCGCGCCTCGCGTAGAGCCTCGCGGCTCGCCGAGTCGGTAATCGAAAACCTCGCCGCGCGCGCGCACGCGCGCTAGAAAACGCGGTATCATCGAAATCAACGAACCGCGACGAATTCCGCCGATCGGTCACGCATCGAAACCACTAATACGAAAAGTGCGTCGTCGTCGGGCGAGTCACTTCCGCGCCGCCCCGCGCCGTCGCCGCAGCGCGCAGACTTGGCGGATTCCTCGAAGATGCTCCTCGCTTTTCTCTCCTTTTCTTTATCGCTGCTTTCTCTTTCCTTATCGCTCCGCGTCGAGATGCACGAGATGTACCGGCTTCCGCTACAAGCGAGGCTTCTGCGTCTCCCACGCGAGTCCTCGAGGAGCGACACGTACCATCGCGATCACGTCGAAGTCCTCGTCCAGCTGGCGATCCTGTAGGCACGGGGATCGCCCCGACGAGCGTTCCCCGCGAGCGTGTCTAAACAGCAATCGTCTCCCGCTCGACGCCGGGGGATCAATCGGGCTTATGGAGGGTTCAGACGATCGTCGAATACAACGGCGCGAAAGCCTCGGGACGTGACAAGGATCTCGCGGGCGAGCTTGAGGAGGAAGCCGACCGACCTGTCACGAGCAAACAATAACGCGATACTACTGAACGAACCTCCGCTGGGGGCCATCGGCGGAATGTTTTAAGTCGTCGTTGAGGAAAGAAACGGAGGAGGATGGGGGGGGGGTTATATTTAAGCGCTAATGTTGCCCACGCGAGTATCGTACGATATTCGGCCATGACAGTATCGTCTCTTATCGACTTCGCAGATAAGGCGCCACGCGCTCGCTTCGTTCTACGACGCGGCCTCGCGAGATCGATCTGGCCCACCTAAGATGATCCAGCCGGCGAAGTAGAAAGAGACAGACAAAGGAGGGGGAGTAACAACAAATCGTAGAAAGCGGTTCGCACGTGCGGTCTCGGTGCTGACCTGCGACGTAAATGCGTCCTTAATCCT